CAGCTATTTCTTCCCTTGCCTCTTGCAGAAATCTGGGATAGATCCCATCTGGCCCTGGAGACTTGTCTAGCTTAATGCAATTTCAGATACCCAAAACTTAGTCATTTAATATATTAACATTCTCTTGAGTATTCATACACTCATCCCTGACCTCAACATCAGTCATGTCCTTTTCCTCAGTGAATACTGATACAAAGTACTTATTAAGGATCTCTCCCACTTGCTGTGGCTCCATGCAAAACTTCCCTCCTTTGTCCTTAAGGGGGCCTATTCTTTCCCTTTCTACCCTCTTACTTCTAATATATGCATGAAAAGCTTTGGAATTCTCCTTGACCCTGTTTGCTAAAGAAATTTCATGGCCTTTTTTAGCCTTCCTAATTCTGCATTTAAGTTTTTTCCTAATTTCTCTATATTCCTTGAGGGCTTTGACAGTTTGTAGCTGCCTAGATCTATCGTGTGCTTCTTTTTCCTTTTGACTATGCTTACAATTTCCTTTGTCATCCATGGTTCCTGAATCCTGCCTTTCCTATCCTTCAGTTTTGCAGGGACATGCATGTTCTGCATTTTAATCTTTAAAAGCCTCCCACATGCTAGACATAGATTTGTCCTCAAATAACTGCTTCCAATCTGCATTCCCCAGTTCATGTCTAATTTGGATGTAATTGGCCCTTGCCCAATTAAACACCCTCAACCGAGGGCCACTCTTGTCCTTGTCCATGACTACTTGAAGTCTTATGGAGTTATGGTCACTAATCCCAAAATGCATATTGAAATCAAAATGTTTACACTGTTCTCTCTTCACAAATGCAACCAGACCTCAGAGATTCTGCAGCACTTTCTGCTTTTATTACAATAGTTCCTTTGCATTCCTTGGTGCTTTTTCCATTTTCATAAGATAGCCTGGGCTGAATGCTAGATATCTCAATTTGTAAGGCATACTGTCCAAGCAGTAGCTCTGTAAAGAGCATTTAGAGATAAAAGAGTGATAAAATTTTGCAGTGCAGCTAGCCATAAAATTATAGAATCATAGAATTATTTTTATTCAGAGAATCCATTTGACCTACTGTATCGGGAACTCCTGGGATGGGAGTCATGCCGCCAAAGCCTACATTTATTCCACTGTTTGTAACTACCATTGAGTATATGGTGGTGATCTGACTTCTTGAATCAGTGCAGTTGTTTGGCAAAGGAATTCCAAGAGAGAAGTTCAGGATTTGACCCACCAACGATGAAGAATGGGAAGATACTTCCAAGGTAGGATGGTATGTGACTTAGTGTAGGGACATAGAGATAACGATGTTGTCATGCGCCTGCTGTCCTTGTCCTTCCAGCTGGTATAGGTCATGGATTTGTAAGGTGCTGTTGAGGAACCCTTGGCGAGTTGTTACATAACATCTTGTTCAAGGAAAAGATTGATAGAATTCTAGTCACTAATGACACTGTGCCACAAGATCCCTCATCCCATACCGTATTGGACACTAATTCTGAGCTGCTTTAGCTGCTTGGAATCTATCCCCTTAAACGTTGTTGTAGTGCCATGCAACATGATGGTAAGTATCCTCATTATGAAGGGTAGATTTCAGCTCTGTCAGGATTGTGCACTGGTTATTCTTACCAACATTGTCATTGGCAGGTGTATTTGCAACAGGTACATTGATCAAGTAGATTTTTCACCCCACCTGCCAGGCATACTTTGGCAGACATGTCTTTCTGGGCTGGGTCACTTTGGCCAGTAGTAGTGCTGCCGAACCACATCTTGATGATTGCTATTGAAGTCCCCTACTCAGAGTGTATTCTGTGCCCAAACTATCCTCAATGCTACATCCACATAGTGGTTAACATGGCGAAGCATTAATTCAGTACTTGAGGAAGGATAGTAGGTGGTAATCAGCTGGAAGTTTCCTTGTCCATGTTTGACTGTGAAACCTCATGGTGTTTGGAATCAATCTCAAAGATTTCCAGGGGCATTCCCTCCCAAGCTGTATGCCAATATGCTGCGACCTCTGGTGGACATATTCAGGAATAGGGAAAGAGGAGCCCGATGATGTGTGTATGACTATGTCAGGCTGTTGCTTGACTCAATTGAGGGACAGCTGTTGGCACAGATTTCCACATGTTACTGAGGTGGATTTTGTAAGGTTGTTTGGGCAAGACATTCCTTTGTATTTTCCAGTACCTAGATCGCTGCTGGATGGTCTGTGCAGTTTTATTCTGATCTGACTTTAATCTAAAAGTTTGGTACAACTGAGTGCCTTGCTAGGTAGGCCCTTTCAGAAAGCAGTTAAGAGTCAACCACATTGCTGAGAGTTTGGAATCACATATAGGCTAGATCAAATAGGGTGGTAGATTTTCATCCCCGTAGGATGTAAGTGAAGAAGATGGATACTTCTGATGAAGGGTCTAGGCCCGAAATGTCAGCCTTCCTGCTCCTATGATGCTGCTTGGCCTGCTGTGTTCATCCAGCTCTACACCTTGTTATCTCAGATTTTCCAGCACCTGCAGTTCCTACTATCTCGGATACTTACATAACTTGGTTGTTCCATGTTCACCATTACTGAAACTAGCTTTTTGTTCCAGCTTTATTTAATTTTAATTGTTCCAGATGCTTGGGTGGAATTTGAACAATTGATTTTATGTCTCTAGATCATTTGACTGCACCTTTGGATTCCTAATAGTTATGCGAGTGGAATTATATACTCTTTTTGTCTCCATTATCTGTAGTCTGTGCACACTAGTGTCCCTGGGGTTGAATCAGGTTCAGTCAGTGGTGTGATTGGGTGGCATGATCTAGTCAGGTTGGTTTGGGGGAGAAATAGGAAACAAAGTGGTAGTCACTGGCGACTGTCAAGGGGTCAAAGGGGGAAGGTAAGAGGATCAGTGTGAGTGATTGCAGTATCAGTTATGTAGTTAACTAGGAGTTAGACAAGGATGTTTCTGTTTCACATTTCATGAATAACTACCAATGAAAGAACACCAGAACTGTCAGAATTGAGCCAGAGACTTCTATGTAGGGTCTCAGGAGCAAAGGAATTGTCTGTTAGATGTTCAAATTTCCCACACAGTTGCCACAAAGTCATCAATTTGGAACTTCTGTGGGATCCCAACGCACATCTTTCAGCATACACCTGGTCTCGGAAAATCCAGAGACTGGAAGATCATAAAACGCTAACGTGGAAAAAGCATAAACATGTCAGCATGGATTGCTGAAAGGGAAAATGTGTTTACCGAGCCCATTAATAGCCTGGCAACTATAAAATAGGTGTGTGGTCATGTAGCAAAGCAGAGGAGAACTTATACATTGGGGATGGGGCCACCACCTCCACATAATATTCCAGCAAGTGTTTGTAATCATTCCACATGTACATATCAAGATGGCAGCAACCTGCATTTATGGAGCCTTTTAACATTAGATTATATCGCAAAACCTGACATGGATTCTCAGCCAAGGAAGACAAATATACATTATGACATGATTTTACAATAAAAGAATTCTCACCATGAATTTCATATTGATCTAGTCAAAGAAACATAGAAAGTAGGAGCAGGAGTGAGCCGTTCGGTATTTAAGGTATTTAATGGGGAACAACATTGAACAACACGTGTAGCCACCTTATATATAACCTCGAATTAAGACAGCGACATTGTGATAGATGAAAACCAAATGCATAATGCAGGTCAGCACTTTCCCCACCTAGAAATTGTGAATATGTTTAGTTGATGTTCCATGCACTGTATTTGCTATGCACTTAAGTGGATGAGCCTCTAAACCAAGAGTTTATATTCAGAATATTGCTCCCACTTTGGTGCTCCACAGAACACATTTTTACCTTTTTTCATCCAGAAATGACTCTTGCAAATGATATGTGGTGCAGCTTCATTGTGGTGCAATATAACTTTTTGATTTCAATGTTTCTTGTGATAAAAGTATTATCCTGCAGTTCATAACATAACTATTCATTTACTTTAAATGCTTATAAATATGGGATTTGCACTCTAAATAAATAAAATAAAATGTTTATTTTTAAATCTATCTTAATTTTGTTCTATTACCCTGATGTAACTATGTAAGGTATGATTTGGCTGGTTAGCACTTAAAACAATATTTTATGTGCGGCTTAATGTTGGCAGTTTCTATATTGAGCCTTCAAACAGGTAGCTGGAATCTTGCAGAGCTCCTCAATGGCAGGCTGTCAATAAGTGTCATTTTCTTCAGGGACTGACAGCAAACAAAGCACAGCAAAGAGATTCATCTCAGAGGATTCATTCCTAATGGCACAATCTGGCCTTAAAAATACATGCTGAGTTCCTAATTTTGACATGGCCATTTAAGAAATCTGTTATACTTCAGAAAATGTTTCACCACAAGGTGAAGAGATAAGGACAAATAGAAGTCAAGTCAACCAGCATTGCTATTTTGTCCTTCTCAGTGGGCAGCTTCAGGTTCTGGGAGTAGAATATCTGCCAAATTTCCCAAAAAAAACAAATCAGCACCACGCGTGGAAGGAGTAAACAAACAAAATTGGGAAAAACCACAAAATTTGCAAATAGCAATTCAGGAAGGACATCAGCATCTTATATAAAAGGAGTTTGTCCTTTCAAGTAGTAATGCAATTTACAGCAATGACTTGTATTCATATTTTATTGGACAATGCTTAAATGTTGCAAACTTTGCAAGTAGTGGACCACGCCATATGAAGACTCCATCCTGGAACAGAGGTATACAGACTTGGAACTGGTACTGCAAAATTAATTTATCCCCCCCATGAGCATCTCACATGGTTTCATAATGAAGAAATGATATATCTCATTATTAAAGCAATTTCATATCAGCACCTTTTGGATTTGAACCGGTGACCACAATACTGTGAAATGAATCTCAAGAGTCACAAACTGGTCACTGCTATTTGGCAGATTTAATTTTCAATTCGTGTGTTAATTCTTTGACATGAAAAAGATCTGCAAGTTTAGCACAATTATTTAATTGCTGTCTTTCCTTGCAGTTTATCTATGATGAGAAAATTGAATGGTAAGTATTATGAATCAATAATAATCCCTAAAAATGATCTCTTGTTAATGTGAATGTAAATTATTAGCAACCTAGTGTATTATTGATGATCTTTAAATGTGATTTTTAAATTTCCTATCCTAGGCAATATTAAACATCATGTTGATATCTATGTCTTGCCACAAAAAAACTTAATTGTGTCCTTTTAAGTAATGTACATTTATGATGAAGTGGTTTGTTATTCAAATACACTGTGCAGTGGAGTAATAGGACATAAGTGTTTGACATAGCATGTTAAGCTTTGAACCCTTGGCAGGTATCCAGACATTAATGCCAAGCAATGGTCAGATGCTTTTCCATGGAGAGTCAGTGGTGATTCACCCCAGCTGCTCTTAAGCAGTTCGTAGCATCTGGTTACAGAGCAACACTCACAGAAAGCTTGAACAAATCTGACTGCCTCCTTTTTTGGTAATTCTTTTCTTAACATTTTGTGTTTCTATGCCATTGATCTATCCCCAGCCTCCAATTTCTGACATTCACAAAATAAGAATGGAAAGGAGAAGGAGCGGAAGCCAGAAGCATAACTGCAAAACCATACTGACCCATTCAAGTTGAATAGCTTTGCACAGATAATCTTCAAAAAGATTACTTTAACTGGTGCATTCACTTAAATTCAGCCTGTAGATTGCTGATAACTGAGCTGCATTATGGGTTTAAATGTATTGCTCATGCTCTAACTACAAAGTAGTGACAATCTCTTTATCTCTTTGAGGTGGGAAGGCCTTCTCCTGATCATAATGTACGCAGGCTATATACTTGTGATGAAGTAAGTTTTCAAATTTGTTTTAGATACTTGCTTATAAGTATGCAACATGCAATGATACTGGATGAAAGTGAATTTTGCTAACTTCAATATTTCTGTTTTATATCTAAAATGAAAAGCCTGAAGTATAATATATTTTTAGCGATTCAGTGCCACGTTTTTGCTCTTTTTGCTCTTTTTGATGTGCCATCTAACCCCACTAGTCTTCCAGGTTATCTCTGTTAAGTCAGGAATTCAGATTTGGGGTGTCATCGTGGCTCAGTGGTTAGCACTGCCGCCTCACAGCACCAGGGACCTGAGTTCAATTCTCACCCTCAGCTGACTGTCTGTGTGAAGTTTGCATATTCTCCCTGTGTCTGTATGTGTGGGTTTCCTCTGGGTGCTCCGGTTTCCTCCCACAGTCCAAAGATGTGCAGGATAGGAGGATTGGCCATGCTGAATTGCCTGTAGTATAGGGGGATGTTCTGTGGGTCAATGAGGACTTGTTGGGCTAAAGGGCCTGTTTCCACACTGTAGGAATTCTTTGATCTAGGTACAATTCATCAAAAGCAACAGCCCAAATTGACAAGGCTGTAAACAAAGTTCTGGAGTTAATTTTCCTGAAGTATTTTTATGCATTCATGGAATATGAATCACAGGCAAATCCAGCATTTGTTCCCCATTGGTAATTGCTGTCGAGAAGGTGCAATTGAGCTTCCACCTTGAATACCAATAGTCTTTACATCCACACTGTTACTTGGGATGTAAGATTTTAACCTGGTGCTCATGAAGTACCCATGATATAGTTCCTAGTCAGGATAGTGTGTTACTTGGGGTGAGGGGGAAGATATTTGCAGGTCATGCTTCATATGAAATTGCTGCCTTAGCCCTTTGAGTTGCACCAATCACTGATTTGGAAGGTATTGTCGCAGGAGACTTGGAGATAATACCTGCTGAACCTATGGGCTGGTGCTGAAGGAAGTGATTGTTGAAGTTGGTAGATGGGGGTGCCAATCAAAAAGTCGAGTTTCTTGTGTGTTCTTGGAGGTGCACTCATTTGGGCAATATTCCATCACATTCCTGACCTTATAGATGGTGGAGAGGCTTCAGGAAGTCAGGAGGTGCGTTACCTACCATGCCAAGTTACCAGAGTTAACAATTTTGTTAATCTTTTTGAATCTTTATCAGTTTCATACTTCAAGATCAGCATGACTTTTCAATATTGGACGCATATTGTTAACTCTGTTTTTATCTCTCCGCGGATGCTGCCAGACCTGCTGAGTTTCTTCAGCACTTTCTGTTTTTACTTTGGGTCCAGAGCAGTTGAGCTGAAATTCCTAATTCCATTCTGTAAATTCTATGTGGTTGCACATAATCACATCAATAATACTCCTCCTCAGATCCATACACTGCTGCCCCTTGATCAATACTGTGGAGCTTCTACTCAAATCAGTTCTTCATATTTCCTCAGACATCAGTTCAGAAACTGACAGGCCTTCCCTAAAGCACAAGACTATGTGAAAATATTCTTCAGGACTTAGACTGAAATCTTGTATGTTTAGGTGATAATCCTGCACTGTAGTTCTATAGCTTCTGGGCTGCTTTATGCCACCTAGAGAAGCCAAACAATCAATCATCATATTCTCACAGATAAACCAATACATAACTCATTTTTTCTGTAGCTGGTGGTGGGAATACCCAATTTATGTTTCATATTTTCCCTGTCATTGCTGCCTTTTTATTGCAAAATATACTGAGCACTTTTCAAACACACAGTTTTTATTCTTAATGATTTTAAAGTTGAGGAAGGAGAGAGTGAGTTTTAACCTGAAATATATATAGAGTTTATTGCATATGTGTGGAAAAATTACAAGGCAAAATTGGTGCAGCTCTTTGTGTGCCTCCAGCAGAGTTTTTTTCCTGATACTATCTCCCATAACATAAGAAATCAAGCACGTCCATCATAATACTGGTCCATAACAGACATTTAAAACAACTAGATATGATGTACAAACAACACATTCCTCAGACACATACAGATCTGGGTTCATATTAAGCTGTTATATTATGCCCAAGAAGCATGCTTCCAGGAAAGCGTCATGCTACAAGTGGTCAGAGGAAAGATGGAGCATGAGGTCATTGTAACCTCGGGTTACATGCTACCATGCAATGATGATATCATGAGCCTTTTTCTTAAAGGTAGACCAAATATTGACCACGGCATGGAACACACCTTTGGCTCAGTTAACAAAACTTGGCATTATTTAATTTCATGTTTTTGTGAAATTTTCAGTTGGTGACCGCTTTAAGCCCAGTCCTTTCTGTTATTAAAGGGTTCTATCAGCCTCACAAATGGATAGTATCTCTCTGTGTCCCAGATTAGTATTATAGTAGTCTACATTGTCTGCGGTTTCAAACCAGTCTCAGAACTGTGACAGCTGCTGATGCTATTTGTAGTACTAACCACTTACAGTTATACTATAGTCAAGAAGCTTAAACTGAGTTGAAAATTCATACACCTTGTATTGAATGTGCTAAACATATAAATTTCACTTTGACAACTCCTGCCATTAGGAAGCCATTGTGGGGTTTGAGGGACAGAGGGAGTTTGGTGGTCCAGCTGCATTGGCAGCTGTTTCAGGAAAAGCCCATAAAATGTGCTACCTTGAGAAGAGTGTCTGCAAAGGATGTTCTAGGTGCCAGAGGCAGCAGAACCAGTGCTATTCTGAGGTTACCCAGCCCCACCAGCTGATGTGATACCAATTACCCAATTTTGGACCATGCAGGTCCATTGAGCACATGTGTATCTCGCTCAACAACGAGTGGGGACTCAGCTACAAGAGAGGCACTAGTTTTACTTGAAAAACTAAGTATGCAATTTGCAGATAAGATAATTGTTAAGAACATCTGCTGTTGTGCCTGGAAGTAATGGAGACAGCGTTGAAGTTCTTGTGATTAAAAGGATTTAGGAGTGTTTCACAAGAGGCGCAAAAGATTAAATGATCTTTCACACACTAAGAACAGCATCGACTAACAGATCAAATGAGGAATTTTGTAGCATTTTGGTAGGATAGGAGGTTAGTAGTTTCATTGACTCTGGATCTGCAGTAGGATAAGCTAATTGAACAAAGGTAGTGGAGAAGATCAGTTCTGAGTAATGTGTTACAGAAAGGGAGAGTTGGTAGGTCAGCTCCTGCTTTTTTTCCCACTTCTCAACAAGTCACAAGATGCGTTCTTAAAAAAGTCTTTTAATCCTTTGGCTGCTATAACTTTCAAAAGCAGACGCAAAGCAGGCTTTCTCATAGTTTTAAATTATAATAAAGAATAGCCATTTATTTTCTCAACTCCCTAAAAGTAATTACAACAGCATCCACTCCCTCATTCAGACAAGGCACACACATGTACACACACACACAAACATGCACGCACATGTATGCACAAAAGATAAACTATTACAAAACATTTAAAATGCACATAAGTTTGTTATAGTCCAAACAACTAAATTTCCTTTTACCAAGACAGGCACAGAAGGTGCTGCAATCCTGAGGATTTTCTCTTGTTTCACTCAGACAGCAAAGGTTAGGCGTTTCTGGTGATGAACTCACTGCTGCTCACTCCCCGCTTCTAGCTTTGCTCTGTTCAAAGGTTGTAGTTGAGCCCCTGTAGTGCAATATAATCTGTGTACGTTCTGTGCCCTCACCACCCTAAATGCTTCGTCCAAACAGCATTCAACATGGAGGAGTGTTGATCCACCCTCTGGGGATTGCAGTAATCGGCTAGAGGTTTCCTTGCCCATGTGATGTCATGGCCTTTTATGGAGTCTGCATAAAAAATGCAGAAAAGCGATTTTGCATCAACTTCTAAATCCTTCCAGCACGTTCAATCACATAGAGTCATACAGCACGGAAACAGATTATTCGGTCCAACCAGTCCATGCCAACCATAATCCCAAACTAAACTAATCCCACCTGCCTGCACTTGGTCCATATCCCTCCAAACATTTCTTATCATGTACTTTTCCAGATTTCTTTTGAATGTTGTAATCATACCCGCGTCTACCACTTGCTTGAGGAGTTCATTCCATACATGTACCACTCTTTATGTAAAAAAAGTTGTCCCATGTGTCTTTTTTAAATCTTTCTCCTCTCACTTTAAAAATATGTCCCCTAGTCTTGAACTCCCCCATCCTGGGGAAAAGAACTTTGCTGTACCCCTCGTGATTTTATAAACCTCTATAAGGTCACCCCTAAACCTCCCACATTCCAATGAAAAAATGTCTCAGCCTATTCAGCCTCTTCTTATATCTCAAACCCTCCATTCCCAGCAACAAACTGGTAAATCTTTTCTGATCTCTCTCCAGCTTAATAATATTCTTCCATTAGCAGGGTGACCAGAACTGGACACAGTATTCTAGAAGAGGCCTCACCAATGTCCTGTACAACCACAACACAACGTCCCAACTCCTTTACTCAAAGGTCTGAGCAATGAAGGCAGACATGCTAAATGCCTTCTTAACAACCCTGTCTACATGAATTACGTACCTGAACCCCTAGGTTTCTCTGTTCTGCAACACTACCAAAGACCCAACCATTAAGTCCTGCCTTTGTTTGTTTTACCAAAATGCAATACCTTTCACTTGTCCAAATTAAACTTCATCTGCTATTCCTCAGCCTACCGACCCAATTGATCAAGATCTCTTTGTCATCTTAGGTGACCTTTTTTTCCTGTCCACTATACCACCAATTTTGGTGCCATCTGCAAACTTACTAATCATGCCTTCTATATTCTCATCTATATCATTTATATAAATGACAAACAACATGATTGAGAGAATGTTAGAACCTCTACCGTCACTATTGTTGTGGAGGTGGAAGCGTTGGACGAGGGTGGAATTGGTCAGAATTCACACAACACCAGGTTATAGTACAACAGGCTTAGTTGAAATCACAAGCTTTCGGAGTGCTGCCCCTTCACCACTATTGAATCCAGACTCCAAGATGCCTCTGAAAGTGTGTGCTGCTGCAGCAACTCGAGTGGACTGTAACACATGACCACATACCGTATTATTTATGCTGTTGACATTGAAGCATGACATTTGTATCATCACTGCAAGATTACAAGAATTTAATCTGTTCTGGTATATGAGGAAATAACATCACTCTGTATATTAAAGACATAAATACTGCTCAATTGTAAAATGTTTGTGACCTTCAGGCAAAGCCCAGAAGGATTTTGTCAAGATTTTGATTGGACCCATGCAACATTAAACTAGTGCAAGCTCACTTTAATCTACAGTATCTTTGTATGAATTTGTTCACTTACAGTTGGATCCCATTGTATGGTTAGAGTTACCTTGTTCTCCAAAGAATTGCAGTTTTTGTTTTAATTGGCCAAGGAGTTAAAATATTTTTGGCTTTAATTTGTTGCACCAGATTAATTTTTACCTGCGTTATACAAGGAAGCCACAAGGTGACTTCACTGGGGTACACAAGCCACTTTTACCTGAGATCTCATTGGTGTATTCCTCTGCATGTCAAAGCTGCTGAGGATTGGTTTGAGGGCAGGAAGCAGCCCAGTAAGTTTCTTTGTGGCTAGGAGGACTCATCAGATCCCTTCAAGGAAATAGTCCTTGTTCACCAGCCTTGGATATTTGTCTCCCCACAAACACCAACCCCTGCCCCACCAAATGACCCACTGAGCCTCTCCAATCCACTTGCCTTATGCAGGGCACTATTCAAAAGGATCCAAAGCAACAGTCAATGAGCTGTCCAATTTTATCTGGATGTATTTACATTTCCCACTGATATCATTTAAAGAACACTAATATCCAGTCTTTACAATACTACAAATTGTAACAGGAGAACGCTTGTCTGAGCACACATACTTAATACTCCCTTCCAGAACAAAAAAAAGAAAATTGTTGATGGTGTTGTAGAAAGAAGATCCTGTCATTCCTCCTGAAGAATAACTCCTGAACTGCCTTGACAGACAAAGGAATAAGACATGTTTTACAATAGTTTTCAAATACATATTGGCAGCAAAACAGTTAATTATAAGTTCAGGAGTTTATCCCAGAGGTAATTATATATACCATGAATAAATATATACTGGGCTAATGTTTAAAATATGATTCTGCTTGCAAATGGGAATAACTACAAAGATAATGAGGTCTGCTTCTTCACTTAATATTTACTTTCAGATTCAATACCAAAATACAGAATTGTTTCGTGAGCAAGCTAACAAAGAATGTTTCAAATGGCAATGTGATCGGCAATGAACTGGAGGATGGTAATGTTGCCTATCCTAATGTTTGTGATGACCCATTACTCCCATTGTTAACTCAAGGTAAGGCTAACCAGACAGAGACTGGCCAGTACAAGTATTCAAATCCTCCCTTAATATGTTTCAATCTGGCTATTCAGAAGAAATCTACACTAAATACACACACAAACAAATGGCTATTTATTCTGTGGCTTCACCAACAATTTTTAAGCACCTTTACCAAATACTATTCACGTTCATTGTAAAACATTTTATTGACGAGTCAAATTTTCTTTAGGTAGTTAAGTTTTAAGATTAAAAACCCATTATAATGCTGAAAAAAAAATCAGTTATTTAGAAAGGATTGTTTTGCGGTAATGCCAATGTACGGTTGAATCAAATGTTTCATGTTTAACATTGTTTTTGTAATACAGCTAGGAGCAGTAACATTCCTAAGAGAGATTCTTTTGAGAAGCTGAAGGCTGTAATGGTGCTACTTTTTAATTCTGAAGATCTCCTCCGCTGCCTGTTTGTTGGTAGAAGGCGTTTGTTACATCTTTCATCAGTGTCCTTCCCCTTCTTCTACTGACAGCATGACCTGTTTGCATACAATGTGGTAACACAGCTTGAATCTAAGATAAATCTGTGTGTATTGCCCATCCTGTGCTTCCTAATACTCAGGAGCAGTTGTACAATATTCTCCAGGTGATGCAGTTTCTTCCCTCTTCCACATCCAAACACTGCCGAACCCCGACCGTGAGACAGTTATTCCAAAAAAATGTGAAATAAATTCCTAATTTTATTCTGCATTCACTTTATAACAAAAGTTTAAAAAAAAGTTCTGTTTGCAAATTTATTAAAAAACAATTCCTGTACAAAAGGTGCACTATCATGTGAAAATAACAAGGTGTTGAGCTGGATGAAGACAGCAGGCCAGGCAGCATCAGAGGAGCAGGAAAACTGATGTTTCGGGTCTGGACACTTCTTCAGAGTCTGTCTTCAAAGATAGGTTATTAAAGATGTGGCCACTGATTCAACAAACTCATCACATCATGGTGCAAAGTTAATATAAATAAATAAATAGTGAGAAGCCTCTTGAGTAGAAGAATATCATAAAACTCCAATCCCACCCTCGCCTCTGACCACAAAACATTGTTCGAAAGGTCTCTTTTTAAATAATACTAGATCTTGTCAGATCATTTAGAAGCAGAATTAAAGCAGACACATCTGATTGAAATCATCAGGCTTCCTTATACTCTCCACTAGCAATTAAAATTCCATTTGATTAAAAAAATGCATTGTACCCCTTAAAGTGTTTATGCTAATTATACAAGAAGGTATAATTTGAACACAGTGTAAAACACTGCTTTAATTTTAAATCATTTTAAATCATTCTTCCATAGTTAAGCAGTGTTCATTATCACCTGAGGTTCATTTAATTATTTCTGAATACCAATTAATATCTTCAAACTGTTCTCCATCTACTTCACTAACTTGCCAGAGTTCTGTCTGTTTAGTCTTACTGTGGTTCCTATTTCAAAAAATCTTTTATAACAACCTTCTTAATATACCTGCCTTCTCTTGAATGTTTAATGCCTGCATTCCTTAGTTATTAATAATGGCTGTGGTAAATAACGATTAACATTAATCTCTCTTCATTCATTAAAATGGGCTAAGCCTGATAACATGGCTTGTCTAATGACACTAGCAATATATAAAAGGCTTAAGTTATTCCTATATTTTGCTGCAAAGTCTCTCCTGAGGGTTTTTACCTTGTTATCTGTGAACTTAGAGCTGTTCTTCAGAGCTATCAGATGCCATAAGAGTTTTTGTAGAATTTTGAGAGTTTTGAATTCATTCATTTTGAATTTATTAATGAGCTGTGCAGGAATAAAACAGTAACACGTGGAGATGTCAAGCATGTCAATTCTCACTGAGAAACAAATGGCCAAGTCATATAGAAAAGCAGGAAAATAGTTAACAATTATCAATCAAGATAAAGATCTGGTTTATTTTAAATCATCACGCACTTGGAAATACTGCTGGGCAATGTTCTAAAATTACATTTCAGACAAGTACTAAAGGCAACAGAAAACATTGATGTAAAATCCAAACGTTGTGCTTTTAGGCTAAGAGGTGACCTCATTATGCCAGCAGTGTTCAAATTTGGTTCACAAGCAGCATGGGAACTCTGGCAATAAAGCATTTCCAGCTTGTTCAAAGAGTCAGGGATCATACAATTGGGGCAGGTTTTTGCATTTTGGGTCAAGGTTCTGATGTCAGGTTTACACGTGGGTTTTCCAACACCACACTTTGACAGGAGCACTCACCCAACATGGGATTTTAGTGGAGTTAGCCAATTAATGGCCAGGCGGTGCATTCGCTCTCCAAATCTTGAAGCTGGGGTGCCAACAGGAGACCACGCAACTTGCAAGAAGCTACATGGCTCGTGAGGAGATACAGTGCCAGCAAACTGGAAAGCTGCCAGATGTCATGAAATTATGCACCTGCCCTCAGTTCACACCCCTATATCAGGGCAAGTATCCTGTCCAAAGTTTCACTGCTTTTTAAATCCAGCTTCCTGTGGTGTTCCATCTGATTAGGGAAGAGACCTGATTCATCTCACAAATGTCCCTTTTTGGCCAGCATCAAGCATTATTAATACACAGGCCTTTGGAGAAAATCATGGCTTGACTGCTTCTGCATTCCCAACTAAAGGAATTTAGCATGGAAACCTACAAGTGGCACAGTGGATATTTCCTTTTCAATTTCATCCTTTCCCTTGATCCTGTCAGCTCTGGTTATATGCCTGAAAGTACCTGCAAGAAACATAAAAGATTCTCAAGTCCTCACCAAAATAATTGTCATCATTTGGGGAAGTGACTAGTGATTATCACTGTGAATATGAATTGGGCCCAGTCCTTTATTTAATGCACAACCAAATGGATTTATTTTAAGTAGACTCGTGCCCTGTATCTGGCTGATTGGTTCTCCTTTATAGCTTAGGTATATTGAAAATAATTGCAGCATCTATACTGTAACTCTTTACAATATAGACTAGAGATTGAACTTAAGACAATTCTGATAAATGTGGCTCACCAGCTCACTATGGCATATATTTCTCACCCAAGGATTTTGATTTAAAGAATTTTTGTTACAGGGAAATTTGTCAACTTTAATTATGATTATTGAGTAGGTATCTTTTAAGTATATATTTCCCCTGCCTCAAAGGCTTTCTTATTCTAATGTCAAATTACATTTAAATAAAGACCTAAAATAAGACTTCAGTAAATTTAAGCATTTTGCACTGGGCTTTGAACTTTCGGCGATTTACTTTCAATCTATTTATGTGCAATACCTAGTTCAATCTGCCAATGGTGTGGACAAGGAAGTCTGTGTAGCTGAGAAATGTGACAACATCAAAAATGGAAACATTCCTCTGGATAAAGTTACAAAAGAAGGCAGCCCTGAGAATGAAAATGAACCTGAGTTCACATCACCATTTTCTCCACCAGGTAAACATACTCTGTACAACCAGAATATATTGCGTTAGTACATGATTAGCCTGTTTGAAGTCATAAGTATCTCCGATAATGAATTAGAAATATGATTGACTGAAGTGCCAATGTTGCATGATAATTGATATTTAGCTGTGTCAGTGGGGGTTAGTTTAGCTCTGTTAGCTGGACAGTTGGTTGGCGAAGCAGTGTGATGCTGATACAGTGGGTTCAATTCCTACATTGGCTGAGGTTACCATGAAGGATTCTCCTCTGCAACCTCTCCCCTCACCAGAGGTATAGTGGCCTTCAGGTTAAATCACCACCGGTTGTCTCTCTTCAATGAGAGAGTAGCCCTATGGTCTAGTAAGACGATGGCAACTTGACCTGAGAGTAACTATCTTGTGCCCCCTGTAGGTCTGGGACAAAGCCAAAGCTCAGTTACTTCCACTCACTTTAAGACACAAGTCCTGGAATTTCTGCCAGAGTTTGCCTAATTTTCACTGTGACTTTAAGCATGGATTGTCTGCCAAAGGGTGTGGGCAGTATTTCTGTGACTACTCCTGGATTTCTTTGGTTTCCTTACAATTTTACGCTGAACGATGACTGTCTTGTGAAAATTGATGACAAACTCCGAGCTTCCCCGAAGGTGCAGAGATACTAGAGGAAGTGTCCATGCAATGAGATGTAAACTAACCCCACAAGTAAGGCCGAGTCGTAACTTAATTGATATTACAAGGTTACAAGGTAATTGAACGTAGGAATTTTCTTAAATCTTCCTTCAAGGATAATCCTACATTCTTTCTGTGACTCCATCTGATTCAATCCTGTTGTTGCCATCCCCCCTACTGGGACTCATTTATGGTGTTACAGATATACAAAAGATAGTGGCCAGGAAAAGGTACCCCACACTGCAACAGTTATTCTGTTTATCAAGCACGAATTTGCCTTTTGGTTATTTGATCCTTTGTATCTTTGTCCTGCTGTTGAAGTTTAATTTGAAGTAATAATCCTAATCTAACTCTTCCATGAAGCCTAGCAATCATGTTAATATCAACAAGATGGTGTGTCAGGTGAGTGGGCTACATTTTGTTCCTGACCTGCTTTTGGCACTATGGATGGATTCTTCTTCGAGCACTGGGGGTCATACCTCCTAACTGAGGAACCCTGCTGCCCTCTTTACAACTTGGCTTTCTGAGCCACAAGCCAATCAGGCAGTGACAAGGTCAGTGCCATGCTTTACTCTGTAATCCAGGACCCCGTGACAGAAGTCTTGCCCTCTGCCAGCTGCCAGCCAATTGGGGAGGCCTTAGTGCTGCAGGATGACAGATTGACCCAGGCCCACAGGGGAATTAATATGGGGGAAGGGCTAGTTCACAGGGCAGTGGTGGAGGGGAGAGAGCCTAAAGACAGTCAGTAATAAGGGCAGTGGTGTGGGTGTCAGTGGCCCAACCCTTTTGTGGTACTGAGATCCTCAATCAGGCACTGAGTACCTTGCTCCCTCTCTGGCCCACCATATAAGATGCAGCATGGTGACGGGCCCAATGGTTTTGGAATGACGCTCTTGGCAGGTCATAAACTGGCCATTAAAGGCCTCAAATGACGGCTGGGCAACAACAGTCCTTCATGCTCAGACCTTAATTCCGGTAGGATCAGATATTCATCATCCCAGCTAACTAAACAATCTTCCCTCCTCCAAGTTCACCATTGGTGAGAACAGAGGATACCACCTTGAATAACCACTGGGTGCCCAAACAGAGAAGGCTGAGGGTTAATGGAACTTGCAGCTCTGGAATCATCAGCAACTGGGCGAGAGCCTCTGCTGCTGGTTTTAGCTTCATATGCCGCTTATACCCAGCAAAGGCATCAGCTCAGGCCACCACATGAGCTTATCTGGTAAGTTCCAGCCTGGCTGGTGTTAGGAGTCTGACTGTAACCCAATTGAGGTGAGAAAAGATTACTGCTGATCCTGGCTTCAGAAGAATGTTCTTGCTTGTTTCTGTTTGAATGCACCTTTCTTTGACAGCAGTTAAACAAAGCACAAGGCAGGCCCTCATTTCACTCACTAGTAGGCAGTCAAATTCTTGCTGAGTCTGTCAACAGTTGTTCAGCTCTGATTTACATATTCTAGATATGTAACATTTGTATACAACATGGTGTCCAGCCAGCTATGACGCTTAAGGAAGAGGCTTGATGAATTTATCATTGCGACAAGCATCTGCTCAGTTTGGATGCAGACGTTCTGACTGCTAGAGTATTCTGCTTGCTGCCCATTTTATGCCTAATTAAAAAATTGTAATATATATCTCAGAACACTGAAATTAGGAATACAGCTAGCACTGCCCCCAGCACATTAATATCTCCTAGTTTCGCAGCTATCACAAGTAGTCACAGTACTGCAATCTGAACCAGCACACTGAATGGTGAAATCACAACTACTTCTGTAATTCTACAATTTTAACAATTGCAGTTCTACCTTGTACTGGTGACAGCAGAGAAGGCTGAGGGGGGATGTGATCGAGGTGTATAAGATTGAGGGGTATGCATAGGCTAAGTAGGGAGCAGCTATTCCCCTTGGTTGAGGGGTCAATCACAAGGGGGCATAGTATTAGCGTAATGGGCAGGAGAGTCAGAGGGATTTGAAAAAAAGCTTTTTCACTCAATGGTTCACTCACTCTCGAATGCACTGCTTGAGAAGGTACCTTACAGCCTTTAAAAATGTATTTGGATGAGCATTTGAAATAGCGTAACATTCAAGGATACGGGACATATACAGGAGATTAGGATTAGCCCACTTTTAGAAGTAGTTATGTCGGTGCAATCTTGATGGGCTGGAGGGCCTTTTCTGTGCTGTATGACTCTGATTCTGTGGTGAGTACTGCTGGATATTGGTCTATCAGCCTGACCATAAAGGTAAGGCCCCCTCTTTAAGAGTCACCATGATAGCAAGCTGTTTCTTAATATCACATGAATAGTATTCTATGGGTGTATTTCATTTTAAACACAAATAATATTAGTCATTTACATTTAACTATAATTTGACACTTTGGGCTTTCAAATGGTTAACATTATAAAATAGTTGAAAATGTGGGTGAATTTTAGAGGTCATTTATAACTTATTAAACAACTGAACAATCTTAAATTGTATTATATATCAACTCACTAATTGTCAACAATTTTGAAAAATTGTTACATTTTGCATATCCAAAACTGGACATCAGTAATTGAATCTGTTAATTTGAGTGTCCCTACCAATCTCAAAATATGCCTCTATTATACGATATATGAATTCAGAATAAAGAAGGCCCCTAACACCTATTCTACTTGTCAATAAGATCTTGAGTGATCTCATAACTTTACATTTCTGCCTGGTCCTGATATCCTTTACCCCTTGCTTGTCAAGAATCTATCTATCTCTGACGTAAGAAAATTCAAAGACTTCTTCCACCACATTTTGAGGAAGAAACTTCCAAAGACTCATGAACTTCTTAACTGGAGAACTTATTATTTTCAAACAGTGACTCCTAGTTCTAGATTTGCCCAAAAGAGTGCATTACCTCCACATCCACACTGACAAGGCCCCAGAGTATCTTGTGGAAACTTAGACAACAGAAGCAGGAGTAGGCCATTCGATCCCTCAAGCCTGCTCCACCATTCAATATGATCATGGCTAATCTTCAAGCCCAATACCCTAATCCCACCCTTCACCCATATCCCTTGATCCCTTTAGCCATAAGAGCTATATAAGGTTCTTGAATAGATCTGTAACTCGGGTTGTGGATGCTGTGGTTGGTTCGCTCGCTGAGCTGGTTCATTAGTTCGCAGATGTTTCATTACCCTGCTGGGTAACATCAGTGCAGCCTCCGATGAAGCGCTGTTGTGTATTCCCCGCCTGGTATTTAAACTCTGGGGTCCGTTGGATTTGATTACCTCATTCCCGGTTTTCCTTCGCAGTGGTGTATATATAGGATCTAGTTCTATGCGTTTGTTGATGGCCTTCTTGGTGGAGAACCAGGCCTCTAGGAATTCCCGTGTTTGTCTCTGTTTGGCCTGTCCTAGGATCCTGATGTTGCCCCAGTTGAACTGGTGGTTCTCCTAATCCGTGTGAATGGAGATGAGTGAGTATTGGTCATGTCTTTTTGTTGCTAGTTGGTGTTCATGGATTCTTGTGGCCAGTTTCCTTCCTGTCTGTCCAATGTAATGTTTGTCGCAGTCCTTGCATGGAATCTTGTATATCACATTGGTTCTGTCCACAGTGGGTAAGAAGTCTTTAGTTCAAGTTAGCAGTTGGCATAGGATTGCCACTCTGATGCCCAATGACTGTAGGAGTCTTCTGGTCGGTTCGGATATGTTCTTGACGTATGGTAATGTGATGAGTCTGTCAGGACATACTGTATCTTTCTGTTGTTGTTTGTGTGATAGGCATCGTCAGATCCAACTGTTTGGGTATCCATTGTCCTTAAATACTTTGGTAAAGATATTCTTCTTCGTTTTGGCGTGGTTGCTGCAGTGTGTTGTCGCTCGTTTAAATAGTGTTTTCATGCAACTTCGTTTGTGGGTGTTCGGGTGGTTACACAACACAACGGTGCTTCATCGGAGGCTGCACTGAAGATGTTACCCAGCAGGGTAATGAAACATCTGCGAAACAACGAACCAGCTCGGCGAGCCAACCAACCTCAGCATAAGAGCTATATCTACATCCTTCTTGAAAACACAATGTTTTGGCCTCAACAACTATCAGTAGTAACAAATTCCGCACACTCACCACTCTCTGGGTGAAGAAATTTTTCCTTATCTTGGTCCTAAAGGTTTACCTCCCTCCCTCACCCTTAAACTACCATCCCTGATTCTGGACTCTCCCACCATTGGGAACATTCTTCCTGCATCTAACCTGTACCTGTTAGAAATTTGTAGGTTTTTATAAGATCTCCCCTCATTCTTCCGAACTCCAGTGAATACAATCCTAACCAATTCAATCTCTCTTCATATTGTTAGTCTTGCCATCCTAGGAATCAATT